CCGTAATTATAATTCTCTTTGGAAACCAGATGTCTGAGAAATATGTCGTATAAATTACAACTATACGATTTACGACCATGCAACAATTTTGGGAACGGGTAGGAGTACGAGCTATTTGGGTACTTATACTCATGTGATTAGGATGGATCCTGCAATCAGCTTTAAGAAAACAAACAGAGATATCACCCACTGTGGTGAGAACTGAAAATGCAGCTACCTACTTTGGATTGTCTCACTGTTGATTTGTGCACCAGTGTACGTGTGCTATTCACTGACATCTACTGACTGTCCTCAATATGATTTCACTTTGTGTAGACTTCTCCCAGCGAATCCTAAGCACATATGTGTTGAGCGACCACATAGGCCCAGCTAGTTAGGAGTGGTGACAGTAGAACGTGTGCAGCCCTGCCCATTACCCCAGTAGCCAAGAAAATAGGAGTGGTACTTCGCGGTCGTGGAGCCAAATAGACCAGACAAGCACCCAAACGGTGTGATGTCTCTTGCAGCCAGTTAGAAAAAGCCGCCCCTGCAAGCGCGTAAAATCCAGTTGAGACAAAATATGGTTACCTGAAAAAGCGGACCCGTGCACATAATGAATAATCTATCGTGTTCGAGTAACGCAACTGACATCACAGACACCGCGGTCCTCGTCCTTTAAGCTGCAACGGCGCCAGATGTATGCCCGCACTATTATGTATCCGTTGTTATTTTTTATGAGCAAAATTTACGAACATAAGTAGATCCGCAGGAAGCCGAATACGGAGGGTTGGCTACTCGACAAACCAGCAACAGTGTAGCATCAAAAATCGACTGGATTGGCTTACGTGCATAGTGTCGTTCACAACTTTATTAGACACTAACAGTGGGAGGTGAGATGGAGACCGATTCTGTGCCCTATACAACTGTAGATTTTCGTTGCTCTACCAGCAATTGCGAAACTGAGTATAGTTATGTAGTGGCATTGTGTGCCCCTACATGTGCTGAGACACATGGGCCAGATAATTTGGACCCTCGGTACCCTTAAGTCTGTCTAACGCATAGGGCATGGGGCAGAGGCGGGTGTGTACCTACAACAGCTGAGAGGAAATGCCAAGGTCAATTCACAGGCACTAATGAGCATTTGTTACAGCATCAAACAACTACAGTGATGTTTTGTTAGGACACTGACTTTCCAGAAGATATTCCGATAGCTGTTAGGTACATGTAATCCGCGGGTTCAATGAGGCCTCGGAATGCCTGTAGTTTATGGAACAGCCCAGACTGAATGCTCCTTTTTCGTGCCACTGGGTTACTGGATGTTTCCCTTTATATGACAATACACATCTTGTGTGATTTCACAGACCAAAGAGAACATTGCTGATTTTAAAAACTGTTTCCTTCTTGTCGTAGCAATTGAAGTTAATGGGAAATCTATTTTTACTGATATTCCCATCAATCAGATACCAGATGGTTACACATGTCCAGCTAGCTCGTTGGTCTCAGTTGCAGCATTTGATTTAACGACGGATGTGTGTATGCAACCAATCAATGTAATACTAGTAGGCAAATTTACCAAACACGATTACGGACGCTTAATGAGGAGTTACAAGGAAACTTAATGCTCATTAGCCTCCCTATTTGTTCAGTAAGCATAATGGGGTTGATCATTGTTTAGCAACCGATCACGGAAATTCAGTTGCACCGAACCTAGTAAGCGTACTCGCCAAGCTTTTCCTTGCAGAGAGACCAGAGAATGCAAATGAAGAATGAACTGCAAATTTCACCAGTGAAAGGTTGATTTGAATCGGCACCTCAAATCGTTCACTTACGCTAAAGTTGATCCTGGTACGACATACGACAATGCCATTGGGGAGACATTTCCACTCATTGCGCATCACTGTGGTAAAATTCGTCCAGTCGAGGCACTGTTTTTAATGCATCTGCTTTGCTGCAGTTAATCGATGGGAGTCTGGCCAATCGAAATGTAGTTAGTCAGTCTCAAAGATTGTTCGCAGAATCGTTTGTACACACAGCATGTGATCAGTTTAACAACACCGCTTTGTATAGATTGAGCGGTTAAATTAATCGGGTTATGTAGTCTTGAAGGTTGCTATCTTTATCTCCACACTCGATGAAACTTGTCAGGACACTGTAAGTAGGGTCGAGCATTCCGTTAACAGGTGTCAGCACGTGGGTCTAATGAACGCAGTGAGATATTGTGCGAAAGCGCTTGCGAAGCGTACGCAAAAGTACTCGTCGACCATGACTGGACTTTACGACATGTGAACGGCGAAAATAAAAAGAGCGCGAGTTGGAATCTGCTTTACTGCTTACAACCAAGCCGCACCTGTGGAGTACGCTAATGACTGTGAAAGTAAGCTTCCTCACCTCTTTTTAATTATCGATGAGTTTCCAAAATTCCACTGAATGATTCATCGTTTTGTGGCTTACTCCAAGTAAGTGATGACACAGCGAATAGCCTAACTGCTCTAAGCTTAGCTTCTTCGGTGGTGATAATTGCGAGGTTTCACAGCCCGGAATATAAGAAGCCTAACATTCAGTTATTTCCATACATGTAGTTTTTCCTTTCAAACATACAATTTTGATTACGTGTACTTCACCCGGGATTGGGTAAAAAGCATTATAGGTGGGGAGGTGTGGTAACTCACATTGACATCAAAGTACAAGGACGATACTCTGGTCCAACTACTCCACTTTGCTGGAACTGTGATATCGAGTTCCTTTTCTGATTGGTAGTTTGAAATAGTTCTATCCAAGGAAAATCCTAATCATTCACTATACTCATATATTGCAGAAGTAAACCTTGTGTTGCTGACGAAGCGGGCGAGATGAATGGAGAACCTAACAGCCAGGTAGCGCTAAACGAATATCAGTGACTCATGTTATCAGCTTATTGATTTTTAAAGGAAGCAGTATCTCTTTCCCTGTAAATCTTCGCACGCCGGCTCACTGAGCGAATGGGTTCCGCTCAGCGACCCTTGAATACACGGTCGGTTGCAAACCTTCTTAGGTTATCAACACTGAGGATAACATTTGAAGGAATCAAGCACGTACTGGTTTTCCAGTGCATCTATGGTAGCCTAATAGTTGTGCACGATTTTCGGTTGTTAGAAAAAGATGCTTAATTTCGTCGATTCTCCTTGCTTTCCAGGTCGATATGATCGCCATTAGTGAATTACTAGCGCTTTCCTTCTGGAATGTCCCATGTTATTTGCAAATTATTTCCAACAGATGCCAATGTTTTCCGCTGTGCCGAGTATCAACTCGCTCGACTGATCATCTGGTCTGTGAACGAAGCAGTTCGAAGCTTATGAAAAGCCATACGCTTAAATTGTGGACTACTCTCCAAAATATATTTACGTTGCACTAGGCCACGGTGCTTCAGTTACCACCAGAAGATGAAAGATAGCCAGCAAATCGTAAAAGTTGAAGTGATATGTTGTACATATGTATAGGTGAGGGGCTCGCAACGTCCAGTTACTGATATTCCAAACACCTTCTGGGGAATCACTGTTTGCCTTGCTGAGATACTCATGAAATGTTAAGTTTGATTCATGAGGCTAATTTACTGTTTTCTGCACAGTGCCAGTGATCAGGAATACCATGTGCCAACTAGTTGCCCAGACGATTTTGAATGCATTCAATGCTTAGTAACAGAGAGATATGGCTGAGGAAAAGTGGGATACCAACAAAATATATGCGACCCACCGAGCGGCCCACTGCATGTGGAATCAAAGGATTCGAACATCCAACTATTACGTTAAGTTATGCTTCCTCTAGTGTTAAGCTTGGCTGATATTAGAAAATTTTCAACAAAACATGCTACATTACGATAGGCTTCAAATAAAGGCGTTGATTCCGCGTCAACCGTGGGCTGCCAACTATGCCTGTGGTTTTCGGTCCTCAACAAACCGATAATCATATCCTTGTGTGTCATGCACTTGCAGCTGTTCGCGAGCTATACACTTGCTACAGCGATCAGTCGGGTATTGCTGTGTCAGACACGAATTAATGACCAGAGATTATAGCAAAATCTTCCTAAGGCAGATACATTTTACCACCTACCACAACTTAGTTGCAACGTGAATTTGTGGGAACACCGACTCAAATTAGTCATGCAATGCCGTCGACTAGAATGACGAAGGAACTTTTACTCTCTTCGTGTGTGTCAGCCATGGAACGTTCTCCCAACTTATGTTGTTTCCTGTGTTTCTAACTGTGTTGAAAAAAGCCTTGACGTTGCCCTAACCCACCTACATCATGAGATACAGCCTGTGTTTTGACAGACGATATAATGCGATGAAAGTTGCATAACCGGAATTAATCTACACAACTGAGTTGGGCTGTTTCTGCTTGCCTCTGTGTTAACACTGTGGTGAGTCCACTAAAACGATTTTCGTTTTATCCTTTTGTTTTCTATTCACCATGTTGCGATTCTCATTCTGGCCATCCTACGGGGATTGTTGGACATTTGGTTTGTTTTTTTGCTAGTAATACATCATTGTTCCATTGGTCTATGTTCACGCGGTGCTGCAGTGGCAACCACTACTTTCCGTATTCGTACAAGCACTTTTCATTCCGAAGACCGAAACGGACTTTAGTCTAACACAAATGCCAGTTACCAGGTTGATATAGACCAAAAATTTACGTTGATGCATGTGGGTACACCAGTGAAAACCTCGTCACATCTGCACTGTCATCCTACCTCACAATTTTGCTTCACGTCGGCCACTTACAAACAGATATCCATTTAAAACCATTCAACTGTGTAGAGTTTAGTTGACCCGATGGACGCTACTTATAAATTACAGGAAATCGGTTGCAATTCCTCAATAGGAGAAAATCACTTTGGTTAGTGTGTGAATTTTTCAGTTTTACGGTCGTTTACGAATTGTCAATGCACAAACATTACACCACATACAAGAGATAAAAAGACGAGTCTGTATAGCGCGGGTGAAGCGAATGAGAGTGGCGGATGAGCGATTACAAAAAGAACTTACATGTATATCCAACATGCCTGCTTCCAATCTTCTGCGCTACCGTACGTCTCGTCAGTCCCCAACAAATTATGATCCCGGTGATATCTCAAAATCTGTAGCAGACAACCAACAGGAGTAGATCGGTCGTTGACAATCATGATGTCGCCAATCGAGGGCTTAGCCCATGTGGATAAATTAACCTGTAATGAACATAGTATGCTTTTCAAGCATTAGCAGTACAAACTTTTCAAAGGTGTAATCAGCAAGCCTCATCGTTCCCGGACTCTTGCCGAGAGATTATAATATACCGAATGACAATGATCCCATTTGCTTGACGTAATGAAATCTTGGTTTGACACACTGAGCCTGGTGATAGGCAGATTTATGCTTCTTGGCTAACTCATGTCAGATAAACAATATCCACCACTTTTCGGGCAGTGTGCATTCATGACACACTGTCCTGCTGACGGATTTCCCCCCGATAGTACATGGAGAGGTTGCTAAGTGAACACGAGGAATGCGAGATCTGAGCAGGGGTGGTGTTGGGTATTGCCAATCAAGGAAGAGGTAGCAACTCATGGAAATATTCCGGTGTTGCTCCTCCCAACACTGGCACACCACGGCCGCGGTTTCGTCTTATTTTGGACTCATCAAGTGGAGGTAGTTTGAGTTGGGTTGGAACTCAGAGCATAGTGGTACACGGCTAAGGCGATAAACACTTTGCCTCTGAGATCCGCGTGCAACCCATCTGGGCCTGGTATCATAGAAGACCACCTATTCCACTGAATCAGGATGATACAAGCAAATAGGTATCACCGACTGTAATGTTATGAATCTACACACCTTTATCGGCCGACAGAATAGGGGACGCGATCGGTTACCGAACATCAAGCGCCTAGTTGTAAATTTTAAGAAAACTGTTTTAACCACATCATATTGTCGGGTAAAAGCTCTGTTCTCTAGTAAACAGGGCGCATGGTGCCACATTACTCGTAAATGATTAGTGGGACCGTTGCTGTTTCATCGATTTCAAGCCATTTCCGATGCACCTGTTTTGGCGTAAAGCGTAACTGCATCCTCTATAGTTTATCTTGCGCATCTTTCGTGATGTTTGATGATTTACGGTTAAATTGCACCCCCATGTATTATAGACATGCATTGGATTAGCTGCAGTGGAGAGTTATCTTTTCGATAGCCAAGAGTGCGGCCTCTGTTGGAAAAATTAGGAACAATTGAGCCGGGCAAGCAATGACTGGCTTTAAATGTAAAGTAACTGAAAAGTGTAAGAATGAAACAATCTGAGTGACAGGCTGTGCGTCCGCGCTCTGCACGGCTGGGAAAACGCCGGTTGGCCACATAGTTTTGGCAAATTGACGGAGTCAATTAAATTAAACCTTCCTAGGCCGCATACGGACTTTGCTAACTCTGGCAATTCGTGTTTCTTAGCTCATCTAGCTCAGTAGTGGAGGAATGAGACTTCAGTTGTCTCGTTCGAACCTATCGGTAGGTCTACAACGAGTGTCGATCGGAGACTCAGACAGCAGAATGTCCCATACTTCCAACCCCTGTTACAAATTTGTTTAGATTTCGGCATATATCAGCAGTTTGAGCGTTTACCACCGACAGCTTCTATCGGTGTAAACTGTTTACGCCTCAATCTGAGAAAAAATGATGAATCACTGTTTTTGCTCTGTCTCAGATTGAACCATCAGAAAAACATTTGCGTAGGTTCGCTGTTTGATTGTGACATTTACTGACCTATGACATCTACCATTATAGACTATCGTTTTTCCCTACGGATACACAAATGCACACTGCTTCTTGCAACCACAATGTGGTGAATCAGCCACAAAATTCGCGTCTTGCAGTAGGCCAAGGTTATTCATTTACTGAGCGCAGAAAAAACACAAAAGTCTCGGAATCTTAACATTTCATTTGCGACACAAGCTTCACCCACAGCACGTTGCAGTGCCAGACTAGCTCTTTCCACATGTACAATACCCAACATTTGATGCAGCTCAAACCACTCTCCTCTGCAGTAGCTACTAGTTTACGACAGTAACATAGTAATCCGCAGGACAAGTGCAATGTAAGCAACCTACATGCGTCCGGATTTCGTCTTTCTTATGTTCTATTGTGACCTACATTGAAATGAAAACAAGCGCGTCCTACATCTATGCGAACGGAGGCAACGTATTGAGTGACGGATTGCAAGAAAAATATTGTTGGTATTATTTGTGAGAAAAACCAGCTGTATCCCGACAAACAAAGCCGAGTTCGCGAATACTAGAAGGTTTGGTCATGCACATCCCGTGGAAATGCAATTCGTCTTCACCGACTGCAAACTCACCAAGGTACAAATTATTTGTATATTTCATCATCCGAATGACAGGACCAAATTTAGGTGCATTATTATTCATAGATCATTTTTGAATTGGAAGTCTTCATACATGCAATTATTTATCGGTATGTAGCCGGCGCACAAATGCGCTGTTACTTTGTAATTTTGCAACCGCTACTTACCAACATGTGATCGAATTAGTGCTTTTCCTGCAATTAAGTGAACACAATAAATGATGTACTGTTCGTAAAATCGAAAATATAAGCACTTAGTTGTTTATCTTTCGAGATGTTTATTTTGAAGTTATCCTAGGACGACCAGTCTGCAGATGGCGTAAACAGCCGATGCGAAACACAGTTATCGAGCGTATTCAATCGGCGATCCGAACTGGGTCGCCTCTGTTTGCAGAAAAAGAAAGCATATAAATGTGCTCGTGTTGTTCCGCATTGTAGCTGCTCCTTCTTTATGTATGTCGTTTACTGAAAACTTATAGATGTACGTTACTTTCGCACATACAGTTTGCACCACCGCATTGCTACTCTTGGCATACAAGCAGAGATGCTGGAATTGACATCGGGTGGGAGCTGTTGCAACCTGCCGTGTGTACCAAAGATTTCTTGTTGGCGAATTGTCCAACGTTCCCGAATTTTAGTAAACAGCAATAGCTTTACCATTTCTGCAGACGGATTGAGGTCTAAATTTCCAACTCTGGTTCCTCTAGAATAAATGCAATTTAATATGCCATAGTGAATAAACCACTGAAGACGAAAAACTACTTGGTGGACTTCGGTGAAAGAGATGAGCTTCCTTGCAAGTCAGTCAATTTGAACAAAACCAATCAAAGTAAGTGCCGTGCACTATCACGTCGAGTAAAAGTAATTATTTGTCGCAGAATAAATTTCCCACCAGCTTCTACCACAGTCGATAGATGACATATTACAACATCATTGGCGTATTGATCTGGTCAGCTTCGTGTGAATAAAAGGCTGAAGTATTTGACCCATGAGCCAAGATTCTCGTCGAAGTCCCGAGCGTGAAGCTTGGCTCCGTTGCTTTGTTAGCGCTGCGGTTAACATCCAGGTAATCTAGCTGGACTTGTTCCCGCATCGATCCATTCAGCGAAGGCAGGAAAAGAGTGCGTGTTTTTGACACATTCAACGTCTATATAACGTCGGTTCGCCTTGTAAGTTCCAACAGTAAGGTAGTTCCTTTGGAAACTGGTTCTTTGCCCCCGGTCACCTATCGAAAAGCACATACCACAACGTTGCCTGTGTCACCACTGCCTCGGTATGACAACGGTGTGGCAAGCGGTTACACTTTGGCTTGGGACCTCGAACTTTGCTTGTTGCTGTCCCACTACCGGAAACTGTAAACTAGTCAGATCGTCCGTGATTAACATGTATGCCAGGTAAGCATAGGATATCGGTACAGATTTCAAAGCCGCACAAACGTAAGCTGAGGACGTCATGTGTACTTTTGCGGTAACCTGGTGATAGACACTTCCTGAGTGGTGTCGGCGGTACTATTAACCTATTTCAAAGCTGTTGAGTACTTTATCTTTTAGTCTACAGTAAACATCTCCCACTTTGTTCACCACGCTACTCCACAGCTGTGAATACCAGGCAACAGAAAATTCTACGTTTTACATTTCGCCTTTTTACTGCTCTGACTAATGCCACACGGTATTTCAACAGATTGCACTGGTTCGAGTTGTCCCAGTACTGATTCAGCGCCATCATAAATGTGGTTTCCTTTTCTAACCCCTTTACTTCGCTACTTCTTGAGTCGACCTGTCGTGACGTCAGTAAGTCTTAGCATGCAACGGCACAATTAGTTTAACACAGTGCACCAATGGCTGGTTGCCCACACTAATTTGACGGGCAATAGCTCTTAATTTTCCCCATCCGACTTTAGTCTCTGGGGGGTTACATGATGTCTATGAAAATCTCCTTTCAGTGGCTTAAATACCTTTCAGTTGTGTATATGGTTTTGAAAGCGACGTTGTGAAAAACAGGAGAAAATTGCGTCACAAACCTTCACAACCGTCGTCTGTCATACACAAGAAGCCACAAGTATCGTCCACCACATTAAGTAGTCATTTCTGAAAAATTTGCTCAACAACTGTAAGCTAACCGTGAAAACACCCAGCGAAATTGCCAGAAGGGTGTTGTGATAGCCATTAGAAAGAGCAAATCCTGAACCTTATACATGCACTAGAACGGCGATAAAGGTGTTGCGTTCGCGAAGTAGTCAACCTAAACCGAACAACACAACGTGTTCCCTAACATCAACTGCTCATAATGCTCTCTGAGGAAACCTTCGTTCGATGGATTTGAACCAAGGCATACACGCATTTCCTTGGGCATATACAAAACGACAGCGACCCGATATTACAGTTTGCTGTCCTCTTCCGTATGACCTGAGTCGCTAGGCTGAACAAAATAATGTAGAGGCCAGTTCTCCATTCTTAAATAGAGAAACAGTTTATATGTATGTATGTATGAAGAATTGTAGGACAAAGTAGAATGTCATCACTCCCGAAAACACGTAGCAGTCATAATGTTTTCAACTTTCCAGATCATTTAAATGTATCGTGAACGGGTAGCCTCCGGGCGCTTTTGCACTTAGGCACAATGCTTTGGTTGAAAGCACACCAAGTTTATGTCCACTCAAGTTCCGCGGTACCATTTGGATTCCATGTATGGAAATTCCTTCATGATTTCTTTAAGCCATCGCGTTACGACTGGACGTTAAACTGGTGCAATAGTTTGC